CGCGACCTTCAAGGTGTAGTCCTCGGCGAGCAGAAGGTTCTGCGACTTCAGGTCCCGGTGGATGATGGGCGGGTTGAGGGAGTGGAGGTACGCCATCCCACGCGCGCAGCCCCGCAGCAGCCGCCATACCAAGGGGAGGGGGGGCGGGGTGTCGCCGGCGGCACCGCGCGCGCCCCTCGGGTGCAAGAGTGCAAAGACCGACGCGCGAGGGAGGAGCTCGGTGACAATGCCGAGGGAGCCGTCGGGCGAGACGGTGGCGCCGTATAGCCTCACCAAATTTGGGTGCGAGAGCCGGCCCATCAGCCCAACCTCCTGGCAAAACGACCGCATGGCTCGCGTGTCTTGCGGCGCCGCGTGCAGCTGCTTGACGGCAACCGCCAGCCGGACCTGGGGCAGGACCGGCCCCTCCCCGGCGCAGGCGCCGCCGCTGCTGTCGCTTGCCGGCTCCCCGGAGGACGACTGCGACTGCTGCAACTGCGGCTGTTCTCGCGGCGCGCCGGCCCCACACCCGCTGCCACCTGCATTGCTCCCACTGCCGCTGCCGCCTCCGCTGCCGCCTCCGTTTGCAGCGCCGCCGGCGCAGCTACAGCGGCTGCCGCTGCCTCCGCTGCCGGCTCCGCCGCCGCTCGCTGTTAGGCCGTAGCTGCCGCGGTCCTTGATCCACGTGGCCTTGTAAACGTCAGCAAAGCCGCCGGAGCCGAGCAGCCTGCCGTACACGATCTCGCGCTCCGCGATGATGTGGACACCGGCTTGGGTGACAGTCGCGACCGCGGCGAGAACCAACGCAGTCGCGTAGCACCTCATCACAAGAAGTTGGTTCCTCACTACGAGTATGCGTCGACTAGTCGAGCGCGTCGGAGAGGTGTAGTCCCAGACTCGCGACGTTTCGTTGTGCGTCTGCGCTTTCTTGGTTTGCCAAGTTAGGTCCTCCCATCCCTCCCTTGGCTGGTCTGTTTTCTTTCTTTCTTTCTGTGTTAGTGCTAGCACGCGCCAGTCCGCACCTGTGTCGAGCCTGTCTGCTGTGTGTGAGAGAGAGTTGTTCTTGTAAAATTCTTGGGTGGGGGAGCCTGGTTGGTGGGTGGGGGAGCCAGCCTGATGGGGGAGCCTGGTGGGGGAGCCTGGTGGGGGAGCCTGGTGGTCCTGCCAAACCACTGTGGTCATGACCACACGACGCCTCCGACCCTGTGCCTGTCCTGCTGTCCACGGTGCACGGACCACGCGCCAGCACTGACTGAGTCGACGTACCCGCGCCCAGCAAGCAGATTGCGCCAAAGCCCACCCGACTCTGCAGCACGGAGGGCATGGACGGAGTACGGAGACCCCTCGCGCCGTCGGGCCCGGCGGCGGCATCCACCTACATCATGGCAAGCGTGTGAACAGACGCCCTCACAGCCTTGGCGAGAACAGTTCGTGGAAAATGACCTGCGAGACCTCGGTGTGAAGTGAATAACAAGGCTGTGAAGCTCCCACAGTGCCGCAGCGTGCTTGCTTGTTCATAGCGCAGCACACGCCCCAGCTGCACACTCTGCTGCTGTTCAGCGATGTTCTGTGCA